TGTGGTTGCCATGAACCAAAATATTATGGTGCTGTGTTGAACTGTTTGTGTAAGTCTGTATGTGTTATCAGGGCTGCTACTGAGTCCAGATATGGGCCAGGCAGCTTGAGAGAGCAGATCGGCAGCTTGTTGTGGGTCTGTTCATATTTCCTGTGAAATGTGTCCTGATGAATTCAATCAAATGAGTGATATGGACTGCACAAGCTCTTGGGCATTTTGTGAGGTTCCCTCTTGGCCTGTCACAATATTCAATATATCGACTTATCGCACAACGCATGGACATGACCTCCAATTATTTTTGGTAATACATAATCAATTCTAGCAACATTTAGCTGATTGTGCAACCTCTCTATTTAGGTGTCAGTGTCTGTATGGTTCAAAAACACTATAGTGGTTACTATAAATTACTATAGTATAATTTGATATGGGTGCCTGACGGCTGAAAATAGATCTGGGGCCTGTTTCAGTAAAGAGGTTCAACCAACTCAGAGTTTAAACTTGAACTCTGAGTTGACTTACCAAGAGACTGAAAACTCAGACTTGATTGACCCAACTCATATCAGCTATTCTGAAACTATAAACTTTTAAGTTGACTAATTCAGAGTTCAACGTGCACGGTCGTGACTATAAAAGGCTCCATCAATGGAGCGCAGATATTACGAGTCACCACGGTAACATCTGGAAAAAAAGAGATCATCTTTTTTTTTTCTTCACCTGAACTTGATATGTTCATGCAAAGTTATAGCAAATATGACCATATATTTTTTTTAAATAAGCAACGCCGCTGCACTACATTTCCAAGTAGTCAGCAGTTCTATAAGATAATCCTGAACTTATGTGTAGTTGTCTGAGAGGTTTTTATGGATGACTGTCTTCATGTTGGGCACGATGAGTGACAGACTGGCCGTCTTTCATCAGACAGGACAGTCGTGGCCCTATTCAGCGGTTTACATTTACATTTACATTTAGTCATTTAGCAGACGCTTTTATCCAAAGCGACTTACAACTGAGGACAAGGAAGCAATTTACACAACCAAGAGCAACAATGAATAAGTACTAAAGGCAAGTTTCAGGTCTGTAAAGTCTAAGAAGGGAAGTGTTAGTAGTTTTTTTTTTTTTTTTTTTTTTTTTGTACAATTAGTGTGATATTCAAAGAGGCAATTGCAGCTTAGGAAGTGAAGTGGAGACTAAATAGTTGAGTTTTTAGTCGTTTCTTGAAAATAGCGAGTGACTCTGCTGTTCTGATGCAGTTAGGGATTTCATTCCACCAACTGGGCAGATTGAGCGTGAGCGTTCGCGAAAGTGATTTTTTCCCTCTTTGGGATGGAACCACGAGGCGACGTTCATTCACAGAACGCAAGTTTCTGGAGGGCACATAGATCTGCAGAAGTGAGTGCAGATAAGAAGGTGCTAGGCCAGAAGTCACTTTGTAGGCAAACATCAGAGTTTTGAATTTGATGCGAGCAGCAACTGGCAGCCAGTGCAAACGGACTAGCAGCGGAGTGACATGTGCTCGTTTAGGTTCATTGAAGACAACTCGTGCTGCTGCATTCTGGAGCAGTTGAAGAGGCTTGATAGAGTTAGCTGGAAGCCCAGCTAGTAGAGAGTTGCAGTAATCCAGTTTGGAGAGAACAAGAGCTTGAACAAGGAGTTGAGCTGCATGTTCAGATAAGAAGGGTCGGATCTTTCTGATGTTATAGAGTGCAAATCTGCACGATCGAGCAGTTCTAGAAATGTGGTCAGAGAAGTTTAGTTGGTCATCAATCGTTACTCCAAGGCTTTTCACCATTTTGGATGCAGTAATGGTTGCCCCATCCATCCGGATTGAAAAGTTATGGTGTAGAGTCGGGTTGGCAGAAACTACAAGCATTTCCGTTTTTGCGAGGTTCAGCTGAAGATGATGATCTTTCATCCAGTGTGAAATATCCAACAGGCAGGCTGAGATACGAGCTGGAACCGAGGGATCATCAGGATGAAAAGAGAGGTATAGCTGGGTGTCATCAGCATAGCAGTGGTAGGAGAATCCATGTCTCTGGATGACTGGTCCTAGAGATGATGTGTAGATGGAGAAGAGAAGTGGCCCAAGAACAGAGCCTTGAGGTACCCCAGTGTTTAGATGCTGTAGGTTGGACACCTCTCCCCTCCAAGACACCCTGAATGACCTGTCAGAGAGGTAAGATCTAAACCATTGTATAACAGTGCCCGCAACGCCCAGTGACTCAAGCGTAGATAGCAGGATCTGGTGGTTGACAGTGTCAAAAGCAGCTGACAAGTCCAGCAAAATGAGGACTGATGATTTAGAGTCTGCTTTAGCCAGTCTGAGATCCTCCACGACCGAGAGCAGGGCAGTCTCAGTTGAGTGGCCTTTCTTAAAGCCGGATTGCTTGTTGTCCATGAGATTGTTTTGAGTAAGAAAGTCCAGGACTTGATTGAACACTACTTTCTCCAGAATCTTGGCCATGAATGGAAGCAGGGATACTGGTCTGTAGTTTTCAAGTAGCGTATGGTCCAGGTTGGGTTTCTTTAGCAGTGGGGTTACCCTAGCCTGCTTAAATGTAGTGGGGAATAAACCAGAGTCAAGAGATGTGTTAATTATGTGAGTCAGTGTTGGTATGACTGCAGGAGAGATGGCTTGCAAGAGATGAGAGGGAATGGGATCGAGTGGACAGGTGGTTGCATGGCTAGATAGCACAAGTTTGGACACCTCAGACTCAGAGAGCTGAGAAAAAGAGGTGAGTGTGTGTGGTGTTGGTGTTGTATCTTGCGTGTTTGTTGTAGGTGCAGCAAATTGAGCACTGATTTTTGCAGTTTTGGTGCAGAAGAATGTAGCAAAGTCATCAGTAGTAAGTGTGGAGGATGCGGGTGGAGGAGGAGGATAGAGGAGGGAGGAAAATGTTTTAAAAAGTAGGCGAGGATTAGTGGCATTGTTGATTTTCAGACGGTAATACGTCTGCTTTGCAGAAGTAACCTCAGCTGAGAAAGAGGACAGAAGAGTTTGGTATGTTAAGAGGTGTGCAGGATTTTTAGTTTTCCGCCAAATTCTCTCTGCAGCCCGAAGTTTTGAGCGATGCTCACGGAGAGCATCCGAGAGCCAGGGTGCAGGAGGACTGGCACGGGCTGGCCTGGATGCAAGAGGACATAATCGGTCTAGACATGATGCTAGTGTGGAGCAGAGTGTATTAGTGGCACTGTTCGAATCAAGTGCAGTGAGTTTGCGAGATGGAGGAAGAGAGTCTGAAACAATGGTGGATAGTCTATTGGGTGAGAGAGATCGTAGGTTTCTGCGAAAGGTAACCAGTGTTGGAGTGTGTGGCGGCTCAGGAGTAATGTGGATGTTGAGAGACAGAAGGAAATGATCAGATATTTGTAGTGGAGTTACTATTGTTTGATCAGTGAAGCAGTGTCGTGTGTAAATAAGGTCTAGCTGATTACCTGATTTGTGGGTAGCAGAAGTAGGTGCTCTTTTTAGGTTTAAACAGGTTTACTATTTCTTCGGCATTGCTGATGTTGGCGCTAAAAAAAAGTGTATCATGTTGACGTGCATTTTTGTGTACCTCTGTACATAAAGGGTTAATGCTTGTTGTAATCAACTCTAAAATGCGATATGATTATTTAAATGATGTGCACGCTTTCGGTTTCATTGTCACTGCTAAGTGCTGTTCATACTTCACACGCGGCTCCTAAACGATATCCTAATACCTAATTCATATCCTAAACAAATAATAATAAATGTAAAAAAAAAAAAAAGTACAAGGTAAAAACTAACAGAGGCTGCGATATCTGCTACCAGGGCCCTGTTTCAGAAAGGAGGTTAAGTGAAAACTTAGAGTATGTTAACCATGAAATGAGAGAAACTCTGGGCTTCAGGTGTATCAAACTCGAGAAAGCAGGGTAAGTCAATCCTGTTTCTGAAAAAGAGATAACTTTTACTCTGAGTTGCCGTGGTCACTTACTCTGTGAACCTAAACTGATTAGGAGCAGGTTATATTCAGCTAGAGTTTCTGTCGGTCTCCTCCTCTTTCTTTTTTTATTTTTTATTTTTTATTTTTTTAAAGAGGAAGCAGTATTTCTCGCCTTGGCCTTTAATTGGCTACATTTCAGTAACACAATGAACAAAGTTACGAGAATGGCTTGTCCTTTTTTGGGAAAATTACAATTAGACTCAATACCATAGTTTTAAGTTATATCTTTGAAATTACTGCAAAAAATAAACTTGATTTTTGCATACTAGTGCATTTCTCACACACTGCTAGTTTCAGTTTCACTTTAATAACATTATTTATGCTTGATGTTTTAGATGTAATATATTTCAGTTTTTATTATTTGAGCAAATTCTTTGTTATACAACAATGACAATTTCAGCCTTGTAGAAGCAAGTTACTTATTTAAAAACCAAAACTTTTCTCTCTACAAAGTCTACAAATATAACCACAACCTTTACATGATGTAAGTACATTTTCACAGAATATGAATGTAAATGAATGCATAATGTATATGAATATGTTGGATATAACCTCATAATTTTGAGGTGACTGTAATGTTTATTGTAATTGCTGTTTGTTTAATACTTGAAATTTTCATTCACTTTTCTGTTCTGATGTTTGATTAATTTGTGTTCTGTTATAACTAAAATGTTTCCTATGTTTGAAATGGCTTTATTTAGGATTACCAGTAACATCATGCATAACTATTGATTGATTATGATGACATCATTTCTGAATGAAAGTATAAAATGTGATTTATAATTGCAGCTGATCTGTGTGTTTCAATAGTATTTTTAATAGAGCAACTCGTGATCAGTTAAGATTTTTTTTTTTTTTTTGTGAAAATAGTTTTGCATCCTCTTGAGGACAGATAATGTTTTCTGCAGCAAGGCACTTTGAAGTCTGGATGAATCGTGTGCGTGCGTCCGTCCGTCCCTCCGCCCGCCCGCGCAGCTTCCTCAGACGTAAATAGAGCTGCAGTTTATCTGTTACTGAAAGTATTTTCTCTGTCTGTAGGTTCAGCATCGCAGCACAGGGCAGGTGATGGCTCTGAAGATGAACACTATGGCCAGTAACAAAGCCAACATGCTGAAGGAGGTGCAGCTGATGAACCGCCTCAGACACCCCAACATACTCAGGTCTGAAACACCAACATATCTGTGGTCTGAGAAAACAGACAGTAGCCATTATCCACAATGTTAAGTGTGCAGTGAGGCTGCTGAAATCTATAAAATGAAGTAAAGGTTTTGTCTGCTTTTTATTTGTAGATGGATAGATAGATCTTTAAGCAGAAGTACATTTTGAAGATATTCATACTTTTATTAAGCATTAAATGGAATAAAAGTGACAGATTTATAACAAAAAAAAATATTTATATATTTTTAACTTTCATCAAAAAAAATCATGGCTTCTACAAAATTATTAAGCAGCTGAACTCCTTTTTACATTGTTTCTTAAACCTATAGATTTCTGGAGCATCGAGTCAGTGAGAGAAAAGCAGAATCTTGCAGTGTTGCAGTTTTAGTTTTCACAGTAAATAAAATAGAAATTCTGGTCAGCTAATTTAAATGATTCTAAACTTTTTTTTAAACCTTACCGACCTCAAACTTTTGAATTGTAGTGCATATTTTACATTTGATGGACAAATGTTGAAAAGTTTCTTTGAGTTCCACTTACTAATTTTGTTTGTGATTTTTGAAATTTAAATTGTATAATATACTTATAATGAGGTACATTTGAAGTCAAAATTATTTTCCTGCCTTTTGAATTTTTATTTTTTTGTTTATTTATTAAAAATATTTCCAAAAGGTTGTCTAACAGAGCAAGGAAATTTTCACAGTATGTCTGATCATATTTGTTCTTCTAAAGAAAGTCTTATTTGTTTAATTTTGTCTAGAATAAAAGCAGTTATCATTTTTTTTTAAAACCATTTTAAGGTCAAAATTATTAGTCCCTTTAGGTTATATTTTTTTGGATAGTCCACAAAACAAACCATTGTTATGCAATAACTTGCCTAATTACCCTAACCTGCCTAGTTAACCTAATTAACCCAGTTAAGCCTTTAAATGTCACTTTAAGCTGTATAAAAGTTTCTTAAAATATTTAGTCAAATATTATTTACTGTCATCATGGCAAAGATGAAATAAATCAGTTTATTAGAAATCAGTTATTAAAACTATTATGTTTAAAAATGTGTTGAAAAAAATCTTCTCTCCGTTAAACAGAAATTGGGGGGAAAAAATTAACAGGGGGGCTAATAATTCTGAGTTCAACTGTATGCCAGTCCTTAATAATAAAATATAAATTTAGCAATTTTATTACCTTTTAATCAGACTTGAGCACTTGAAGTTAAAATAAGCCCTTACTGCTTTAAGATACAGTAAGTCAGACAGAAAAGTACCATGGTATAATATCAGTAATTGTTAGTCTTAAATGAGACCACCTCAATTGATGGCTCTTCACTCACAAATGTACTAAAAACAGTCTATTTTAGGAGAGCGAGAGAGAGTTAATATCTATGAATAATTAATTTATTTACTTCTGAATTTCTATTTGCGAGTTTTCTCCACTCTTCCCTCTAGAATGGAAAGAATGTTTTGTTTGAAGTCCAGTTTGCCTAGAGGACAAAGTCTGTGCTGACGGGCAATAAACACATCATTGTGTGACAGCATGAATATTGATGTCACAGGATGGAGGCTTTTGTCTTTGGTCATGCCTCCAGATCTGCAGCCGCTGTTTAGATAGTGTCAAATATTTAATCGGAAACCGGAGAGTTTGACTCAACAACACTTCTGTAATGTATTCATCTTAAACAAATCCCTCGCATCAATACAAGGGGTGTGTTTGTTTATATGCGCCAGGATAAGAAGTTTAGATCTTTTGTCTGCTTAACCTGCTCCGGCTTGTGTGGTCTATGTGTGACTGAATTAAATGCGCGTGTCGGTGTGTGTGTGTGTGTTTACATCTTAAGATTGCCTTCAAAATGCAGGTGTTCCTGCTCGCATTTTTGCGACGGGTCGCTTCTGAAGGAATTTGGTAGCGCCTTCTACTGTTGTTGTTTTTTTTTTTTTGTTATTCCAGCACCCTTATCCTTTCTTCCATGTGTGTCGTTCAGGTTTGTGGGAGTGTGTGTTCATGAGGGACACCTACATGCTCTGACAGAGGTAAGGAGAGCTCTAATACACATGGATACAGTTCAGTTTGTCAAAAGCTAAAGCAGATGTAAACTAAAGGCCAATTCACACAGCACCTTCAGGCGGCAACAGACACTTTGTCAGGTTTTGAAGGATCAGTGTAACCCCCTTGTTGCTTTCTGTCCAGTCTTGTTTTTGGCTAATTTAACATGCTGAATTGGTTGCTTGTTGGGTTGTAGATTGTCTAAGAAGTGACATGTCGTGACCGTTCGTGTCTGTTAGCGTGTATCGGTGCTGTCTGAATTGACCTTAAAGCATAAAAAACAGACACTTGGGTAAAAATGATGCAGTTTGTTTTGGGGTTTGATGTTTCATGTACAGAGTATCTGTGAGGTCTGAAATGTCCTAAATATCAGTAGCTTAATTTTAGGCCTTAAACTCTTAAATCTGCTGAAATTATTAAATTGTGGGTCTTAAATCTTTTTTTTATCTTCTTTTTTTATCTTAATTTTCCTTTGTATATGTAAAGCTACCAAATCTGGCCATTAACACCCATACTGTCACCAACAATTCCAATCTCAGTGAACATTTAACTCTTTATTTAAAAATAGCATTTAATTACTTTTTTTACAGTAACATTTGTTTAAAATTTTCTCAATTTGTTTACTGCTGAAGATCCTGACTTGGCCTAGATTTTTTATTATTAAATTATGATTATTATTATTTTTGTTGTTGTTGTTGTTGTTGTTGTTATTGTTGTTGTTGTTGTTATTATTAATATTATTGAATGTATTAAATTATAATAATATCTCGATAGGGCAAATGAAAATATTTTCCAACTGGGAAATTAAATAAAATCTTTAGCATTTAGCCCTGTATGTCTAAAATTTCATTCATAATGGTCTTAAAAATATCTCTAAAAGTCTTACATTTAACTTGGTGAAACCCTAATGTATCTTTTTTTTTTAAAACTGAATGATAACCTTTTCTATTTAAAAGTCTGTGGCTGGTAAACATTGATGCGTTTGAAAGTCTCTTATTCTCTTCAAGGTTGCATTTATTTGATCAATACTTTGTAAAATAAAACAATCTCAAATTATTTATTATCCGCTTGCAATAACTGTTTTCTGTAGTAGTAGGTAGCCCCACAAGGAATCTGTGCGTGTTATGAATGGAATTGTTTGATTTACTGTAGTACGTTTATTATAAAATGTAAAAAATTATACTGCATTATTTAATATGATTTAAAGCAACATTTTCTAGTTATTACCGAATAAATTAGAAAATTTTCCATGGCAAATATATTATATACACGGTTAGGTATATATTCGACCCACAGCACTCAGTCAAGTTTGCTTCTTGGCCCTTTATAGGAAAAAACTTTGAGCACCCCTGATCTAAATCTTCTACTATAGATGTCCCCAACATCTTGACCTGTGTGTGCGTGTGTGTGTTGTAGTACATTAATGGTGGTAATCTGGAGCAGCTGTTGAACAGTGACGTGCTTCTGTCCTGGTCTGTGAGAATAAACCTGAGTCTGGATATTGCCAGAGGACTGCAGTACCTCCACAGCAAAGGCATATTTCACAGAGACCTAACGTCCAAGGTACGTTTATTACAGAGACTTTGAACACCAGCACACATCAATCATGTATTCTGAAGGCTTCACACGGGATTCTTACAGTACATGATGCAGCCATGTTAAAGGATCACTTCTCCTTTTACCACTCCTTTTATCCCTTCAGGAACACTTTAAGCTTAACATTAATCAATAAACTGGATTAAAGCATTAGCATTTCATAATTGAAATTGATTCCTTGCTTAAAGCTATACGTTTATCTAACAACAACAAATTCTGAGAGTAATAGAAACTAATGAAAATATCAAGCTTCCAGTAAGTTAGTGTTTGATGCTTTCTGTGCTTTTTGCTTAATTTTGTACTTCCCTTTTCTTTATTTTGTTCTCTTTTTTTTTTCTTTCTATTTCTAATTTGTTACTTGTTCTTATCACTTTGTAACTGTATGTACTTGTATTCCAGTCTCTTACAGATTACTTCACGATTTATATTGTACATTTCTTTTTTTCTAAATGAAAGTTAAAAAAAAATAATAATAAAAATGATAATAATAAGGAAAGATGCACTGTTGCTCATCTTTCTCTTTTTTTCTTCTTATTTTTTTGTGCGTGTGTAGAATTGTCTGGTACGCTGGGAAAACGGCCACTGCACTGCTGTCGTGGGGGACTTTGGCCTGGCAGAGAAAATCCCTGATCACAGGTCAGCACATTGTGCCGTCATAACTGGAGAGATAAGATTAGATATACCACGCTCTTCCAGAGAGAGAAATGGAGGCCTGATTGATTAGCCTCCATTTTCCCCATAAAGCACTTGTACAGTATCTGTAGCCAGAGAGAGAATGATTAAGAGCGTGTGATGCGGTCAGCACATCTTCAGGTTGCTGCAGCCTCCACACTTCCAGTCCTGTCCTGCCCTGATGTTGTTTCAGTCGATTGTGTACACAGCGCTTCACATGTAAATGAATTGCATGTTAAATGCCTCCGATATGCTCGATTTATGATGTTGACATTTACCCTTAATGGCCCGAGTATCTGCTCGCACATTATGTGAAGCATGTTCTGTTAATGGAGACACGCACATATAGTTCATGTAGATGCTAGAATAAGAGAAAATTTACACTGTTGATGCCAAAAAGACACTTCAGTTTTACTCTCACTGACTATGAACTCAAAGATCTTAAAGCAGGGGTGTCAAACTCAATTCCTGAAGAGCCGAAGCCCTGCACAGTTTAGTTCCAACCCTGCTCCAACACGCTTACCTGTAGGTTTCAAACAACCCTGATGGACTCAATTAGTTTGGTCAGGTGTGTTTAATTAGGGTTGGAACTAAACTGTGCAGAGCTGCGGCCCTTTTGGAACTGAGTTTGACACCTGTGTCTTAAAGGGACAGTTCAATCAAAAACAAAAATGGACTCAACATTATCTGAACTTTTTTTTTTTTTTTTTTTTTTTTGATTAACATAAAGATTTATCAGTAGAAAAGTCTTAGATCTAGCTTGATTAGAATATTTTGAAAGAAACCAGTAGATATTGACAGCCATAGTAGGGAAAAATCCCATTCAAATCAGTGACTGCTTGTTTCCAACATTCCTCAGAGCCTATTGTTTGGTGTTCAACTGAAGAAACTCAATCATGTTTGGGACAAGTGGAGACCGAGTATGACAGTATGTTCATTTTTAGGTGAACTGTCCCTTTAAGAAGATTAAAGGCAAATTCCAGACATGCACAAAACCCAAATCAGGTGTTAAACCAGCCTCGGGCCTTCGGTTTTGTTTTCAACGAGTATTAATATGAATTCAAATGTACCTCTTGTGAACGCTTGTTCAGGTTTCCTGGGGACTTTTCCCACCTATTTCATCATGCTTTACAAGCGTTAATATTACTGAATCAATGAACCACTGTTTGGATTAAGTGGGATAGAAGGCAATTGGATCTTACTGGAACTTTGATCTTAATCAGCATAATCGTAACAGTGCATTAAAATATGAATACATTGTTTCTGTTCTCTTTCTCTAACACCTCTCATAAGGATCACATGGTTGGCTATTAGAGATTTGGTGGTCTTATCTCTTATTGAATCCTCAAAGTGTGCTTAAAATCATATTAAGTGCAGTGTAATCAAATCTCTTCTGGATTACTGCTGGAACATTGAAGGCACTTTTCTGCTGCATGGCAAGGTGCGCTTTGGAATGCGTTGTACACACACTGCTGATTGCCTAAAACTATCAGGGTCATTGTATTTGGGACAGTACCACTTAAATGAGGCCAAACTGTACCATAACATAACGTACTTTAGAGCCCATTTATATGTTTAACTTTGTCCACTTTTTGTGATAGACAAAATGCACCTTAATACAAGGAATAAATGGGCATGAGGTAGTGTAGTTTGATTGTCTTTTTTTAAGGCATTGAAATGATTAAGTGACAGTAAAACATTTTATAGTATACATTTTAAATAAATGCATAATGTATGATAGATAGATAGATAGATAGATAGATAGATAGATAGATAGATAGATAGATAGATAGATAGATAGATAGATAGATAGATAGATAGATAGATAGATAGATAGATAGATAGATAGATAGATAGATAGATAGATAGATAGATAATATTTTGTATATAAAATAATAATAATAATCTGGAATAAAAAAATAATAATAATCTGGAACTGACACTGAAGCCTGGAGTAAAAATGCTGAAATCCAGTATATATTTTAACATGCATCACAATGAAACCAGTTATTGTAAATGAAACAAAAATCTGAATCAATGTTGCCAGTCATAGCTCACTTTTTCCTGTCCAAAACCTACCCAAAATATTAAATTAATATTTAAATTTATTTAAATTGTATTTAAAATAATCTGTTTATGGAAATAACCGAATTACTTTAACTGTCTTAAGTTAACCATACAGCAATCAACACCAGCAGTCAAAGCACCACAACATGATACACTGACCCACACACTGTGCTCGTTGTGTAGATTACACTACCTATTAGAGTACATTTTACTTGAGAAATGGGGTGTTAATTCATCCCATTTGGCGGTTTATATTCTTTTGAATATAATTAGGTGCTGTTTCTCAATCAGACAACGCTTCTATGTTTGTTGTTGTGTCAATTGCGAAAAAAAGATCGATAAAAGTGTCATCGCCAAATCGCTGTGAGTTTAACTGTAGGTGCTGCTGTGTGATGCGCATGCACAGGTTGTGGAGTCAGATTTGTTTAGGGAATCAGATTTTGATACAACTTTCCTTTTGCAAGTGGACCCACACAGTTTGGGCTATGCACTGGTCACTTCTAACTGAATGGAGTAGGAGCACACAGTTAATTTTTGTTAAATAAGTTGCAAATAAAATTTGTTTCAAAACCGCCCAAATTTTGTCAACCAGCATATGCCATTTTTTTACCTGCACAATCAAATTCAAAACCCATCTGGCAACACTGATCTGAATATTACAGTATTAACACTAGTCATTTATTTAGAGTCGGTTTGATTGATGTAAGTTAAGATGACTAGAAAAGTTCATTTGATTCTCCTAAAATAATCAAGGCAGAATTCTTTTTGAGTGTTGAATGATATACAGTATTAAATCAGTCTCTATTACAGGATTCTCCAATATGAGGATCATTGGAGGCTTTAATTGTGTGAAGTTGCCCTCCTGGCAGTTATAATCATCACACTGTAATTGCTAGGCAGCTTTTACTAAGGAAATGAAGGGAAGAGGTAAATGTTTCCGAATGTCTCAGTTGAAAGTCTTTTAATCCCTAATGCAAGAGAGGCTTAAAAATAATATGTTAAAGTGTGTGGTGTCATTTCAGAGTGCCTCCAATCATTTACCTTCATTGGAATATATTTATGCTAGACTATTTTACCTCAAAATCACTGGTAAAAGATTTTTACCTTACCTGGAGCTGGTCACCTCATATAAAAAATCATAACTGACTACTGTTAGGTAATTTTACAGTTTGTTTTTTATCCAAAAACTATTGCAACCATAGTAATGTGTAGTGCAACAATGCAATAATAATACTGTAATAACTGAGTGCACCTTTAAGGAAGGGATCAGTATTACCAATATTGCTTTAATATTTGTGCTGAGCAGGCTACTGTATGTAACACTTAATCCGTGTATCCTGTGGATTAACATTCCTTTTAGTGAAGCACTCATGCTGGGACATATTAAAGTGAGCTTGTGCTTGTGTGATCCGTTCCTCAGCACAGGGCCTCTGTCTAAATGCATGTATGAGAGCGGAGGTTTGCAAGTCTCTGTTTGGCTTTCCTTTTATACGCTGTCTCAGCACAAATGTTACATAACACGGTGGCTAAAGTGTACCACCCGAACACGTTGTGTTTGTGTGTGTGTGTGTGTTATTTTAAGTGCCATCGGAGGGCTGTTTGTGTGTGGTTCTTGTTTAGATGACTTGAGATTATTCTGTAAAAGAATGACTGTGTTCAGAATAACATCGTTTTATTTTGGAACTGTAAAACTACATAAAATTCTGTGTGAAACTTCAGGTTGGATTTCAAGACATTTTAAGAATCGATTTGATCAAGTAGTTTTTACCAGATGTCGTATTGGGCATACGAGAATTACACATGGTTTTTTGCTCCAAGGTGAAAACCCTACTCAGTGTTTGTGCTGCAAAACTCATCTTACTGTAAAACATATTTTACTGGACTGTCCTGCTGTTACTGATTCCAGAAGGACTTTTTATGAAATGAACTCTTTTAAGGACATTTTTGACAAAGTAAAACCAGAAAAGATTTTAGAATTTTTATCATGTATTAACACAAAAAATCTTATTTAATTTATGTTTTATTTTGTTTGTTAATTTTTAAATTGTATATTTATTGTTGAAAGATTCCTGCCATGAAGATAGCCTTGGTTGCTGACATGGCACTAAATAAAAAATACATTACATTACATTTTGGAACTGTAATTGCAACAGTATTTAGACCATTTAGAAGACTTGAGGTTAGTTAATTTGAAAGGCTTCATCTCTTATGCTATTCGAAGCTGTTATTTTGTATAAAAGATACAGTAAATATAGTAATACATTAAAAACATAAATGTCTGTTTTTTTTTTTGTTGTTGTCTTTTTGTTTTTGTTTTTTGTTAGCAAACATATTTTCTTAAATATGTTTTAAGGCAACCATTAATCCAGCAAGTTAATCTACTAATAAACAAAAAAATTCTGCATCTGAAATTACCTACTACTCGAGGAAGTCCTATATTTGAATTGGAATTTACTACACAACTGTTAAAAAAGTTATTTTTATATAGTATGAATGGGAGTAGTATAAATAAAATTCTGATGCATTACATCACCCATTTGTCGTTGTCAGCTGACCTACCCCTTTCCGTTGCGTTGCTTTTTTCCTTATTCATAAATTCTCATCTTGCATTATGGGATAGCATAGCATAGCATCCATCAGACGGGCACTTCAGAATCTTGTCAGAGCTAGTAGGCCATCTAGGTGCTGCTCGCATGCTGTTTTTAACCTACTATATTGCAGGGATGAAACCCACGCGAACATTGTGGGAGAACATGCAAGTTTCACAGAGAAAGGCCAATTGATGCAGCCGGGATTTGAACCAGCGACCTTATTGCTGTGAGGCGACAGTGCGAACCACTCAACCACTATGCTGCCATTTTAAATATATAATCAAATGTACAGCTAAATAAATTTTTTTTTTTTTAAATACAAAAGTTTTCTATATTAAACTTTTTTATAGATTTTTTTTGCCTCATGTTTCGAGTGCCTTGGACTAATTTTTGCTGTTTATTCTAATGAATCCCTTACCCAAAGAGCCCCGACACATTATTAAACTACCCGTAAGCATTTTTTGTTCGATTTTAAATATTATTAAATGTAATTTGTTCAAGCATCATGACAGCAGCCTTCAGCGTTACATAATCTTTCAGATATCATTTTATTATGCTAATTTGCCGCTAAGAAACATTTCTGATTATTTTCAATGTTAAATAGAGTTGTGCTGCTTCAAATTCTTTAAAAAGTTCAGAAGAACAGCATTTGTAATAAAATTATTACTTTTACCAGATTATAAACCTATTTACTATCACTTTTGGTCAGTTAAATTCACCCTTGCTGAATAAATCTAATTGAAGAGTTCAGATGCTAATACCTTTAAGTGCCGTCTGAAATTTCCATCGAAAGTGAGCATTATTCTCAGCCTCCTTTGTTTATGTTGAGTTATTTCGCTTTGAAAACCATGAAAAGAACTTATTCTGTGCCATAAAAGTGAAATTACTGAACCCAAACACTGGAGCCTAATAAAAATGATCATTTTAGAAGAACATTTCAGATAGCATTTAGCTATTAGCATTTTGCATCTGAACTCTTCAATTAATACTTCCTAAAATAATGTATTCATTCATTTTTTTTCGGCTTATTCCCTTAATAATCAGGGGTCGCTAGAGCAGAATGAACCGCCAACTTATTCAGCATATGTTTTATGCAGTGGATGTCCTTCCAGCTGCAACCCATCACTGTGAAACACCCATACACTCTCATTCATACACATACACTACTGACAATTTAGCTTACCCAATTCACCTATACCACATGTCTTTGGACTGTGGTTGAGACCGGAGCACCCGGAGGAAACCCACGCAAACATGAGGGGAAACATGCAAACCCAGCCGGGACTCGAACCAGCAACCTTCTTGCTATGAGGTGACATAGCTCCCCTCTGCGCCACTTCCAAAAAATTACTGATAATTCTTTATTTTTATAAGCCTTTTTTCTTTTACTGATAAACTCTTAAATTACAGCAGTTTGCAACATAATGTGTCCCAAAATGCAATTTACTCATCATGATCTTCTCGTCACAATTTGATGTCAGATTAATTCAACATGTGATGTCATGTGATCATCACTACTTTTTAAAGTGTTAATCATGGAGTGAACAAACATGCCGAAAACATTGTAGAGACTATACATGATTGTATATAGTAAGTAGTGTGCTAATGCTCCATTATGAACAAGTCTAGTATGTGTACATGTAGTGTCAGGTTCAACATAGACTTTATTTTAATGCTGGCACTTTTTAAGTGTGTGTTTGTAGATCTCTGTAGATCTCTTGTACACACACAAAGTCCTATTTTTCTCGACCTTGGTATTTCAGTAAATGTTATGTAATGCATATTTCAGTGCGTTTTCAATAGCTTCATGTTTGTGTGTAAAACCACGGGTGTTTGTGTATGTGAAGGAGGCCGAGCAGATAGCTAAATGGAGGCTTTTTGGAAAGCTTTCCTAAAAAGGACAAGGTATTTGAGCAGTTTTGCTGTGGTGGATTTCCTCACTCTGACTAACCCACGTCTCCAAATGCTGTTTACACTGTGGTGCATTACTCCATTTATCTCTCTTTCTCTCTCCTCGTCTGCACTCTTCCCCTCTGTCTATTTCTGCCCAGCACACAGTCACAGACCAAAATAAAACTGAGGAAGTGTGTCTCAGCAGAGTATGACTGTCCCAGCTATAATTAAGAGAACATAAGTCCTCATAAGTTACATTTTTGGCATATAAACGCACACATGGCTGATGAACTTGGATTTACAGGTGTTCATTTTGGAAATTGGGAGTAATTATTATAAAAAGTTATAGAGCTTGTAGGGTCGTTTTAAGTTAATGAGTTTCCTCTTGTTGTTTTTCAGTGAAGAGGCAGAGAAGCAGAGTTTGGCTGTGGTGGGCTCCCCCTACTGGATGGCGCCAGAGGTGCTCCGTGGAGAACGCTATAATGAGAAGGTCTAACACTGTCTGATTATATGGATTCTGTACAAAGTTCTTTAACTGACAGTTTCATACACATATCTTATCTAATTATTGTTATTGCACAATATCTAATGCAAATATAGCAACATTGCTCTCTTTTGTAGAGAATATTGTTCTGTTATCATGTGTTGGTTTTTAAGATTTGATGTGTTTGTTTTTTTACAGGTGGATGTATTTGCTTATGGTATCATTCTGTGTGAGATTATTGGCCGGATACAGGCGGATCCTGACTTCCTCCCACGAACAGAGGTAAAAAAAAAAACAGCTTAGTTTCAGATGTTGTGCAATTAGAAGAAAACAATTTTTGCAATTATGCAGTTTTTAGAAACTTTCCCATTTAATGAAATAAAATTCACAAATCTTGCATATTTTAACAATAGAAATAAAGCTTTATTTTTAGAAAAATGTTTACTGAACAAACAAAAAGATTTTAGCAAATCGTGGTCCTTAAAAACATCATAAAAAGCTATTAAATTTAACAGAATGTTATTTTACCCGTATGTTTTGTTTGTTTGGTTGGTTTTTAACTTTTAAAGAGCTGATATCAGTTCAGGAAGCTAAAAAAATTTTCCATTTAGATTACATATAGTCATTTAGCAGGTGCTATTTGGTCCTTTCCTCTTGAAAGCAATAATGATGTCTGGAAACTTCAATTGAAATGAACTGTTTACTAAAGTTGGTTGTTGTACACTGAAAACAGGAGCGAACTCAAACACACTCGTTGTGCCAATATTACTGGTGTGCTCTCAGTAGCACCAAGCATTATAGGAATTCTGTTCTTAAAGTGAAACGGCATGTAGAAATGTCAAGGTAATTATGCCACATTATGACTATATAACAATAAATGAAACATAAATTATTCACTCTTATTGCTATGTTTTAATTTAAGTCACAACATCTGCAAATGTGCAAAACCTGTTACATGTGTTGGTTAAAGTGTCTGAGAGATGAAAAAGTGTTTTTCTACCGGTGGTTTATCAAGATCACTCACCTTTTTCCATATCTTTGATATTTTGATCTTAAGTAAATTGGCAAATTTTTAATTTAGGAATTATCCCTTTTAAAAGCCAGGTGGTTAAGTGAATGCATGTTGAAACCAAGTTTATTGCTAGAAGTTGTTCCATTAGTTAAGATAATGACTAAAATACCTGTGCGTGCATGCGTGTATATTTGTGTGTGTGTATATACAGTTGAAATAAGAATTATTAGCCCCCCTGTTTATTTTCCCCCAATTTCTGTTTAACAGAGATAAGATTTTTTTCAACACATTTCTAATCATAATAGTTTTAATAACTCATTTCTATTAACTGATTTCATATTTGCCATGATGACAGTAAATAATATTTGACTAGATATTTTTCAAGACACTTCAATACAGCAAGCAGGATAGGGTAAATAGGCAAGTTATTGTATGATGATGGTTTGTTCTGTAGACTATAAAATTTTTTAGATATGTATATATGTATGTGTATATATATATGTATATATGTATGTGTGTGTGTATATATATATATATATATATATATATTATATATATATATATATATATATATTATATATATAATATATATAATGTGTGTGTTTGTGTGTATATACTATACATAAACACGGGTATACGTATATATACAACTGCGGTTAATTCTGCTGAGGCGACCCCTGATATATAAGGGAAATAAATAAATGCAACTCTTTTTCACGATTTGCATTTGACTCATGGGCGTTTTGGTCTATAAAGGAGGTGTGTTAAGGCACATTGTTAGCCCATTGCTATTTTGAGGAACTGAAATAGACCACGCCATTGACCAACAAAAAGCAGGTCTAAAGTCCAGCGCAGAGCATGTTATTTATACGCCTATGCAGGTTCAAACGCTTAATACACACAGGATGTACAGCAATACACAAATATCTTTACATATGAAAAAATAAAGGATTAAAATGTTACAAAAATTATTATTTACTACATATGAAAAACCTCCATGCCTTCTTCATGACCGTTTTTTAATTTAATTTTTTATTCATGTCAATTTGCATTTGTATAATGTTGTTGTTATTATTAGCAGTAGTTTTATTTATTATTTGCATATATTTATTTCTTTTAATTAAAGTTAAGATTTGTCCACCTGTCCGGTTTTGGTGACATCACCATATGGGGCATAAGAACTCAGTTCTTTTTATTCACACACTTCATTTATTTGCTGGGAATTATAACTGAATTTAAAAATAGTTTTGAAACAAATGAAACAAAAACAACAAACTTTTTTTTTTTTTTTTTTACAGCTGTTCCATAAATATTTATTTATTTAAATTATGTAAATTAAACTATAATGTACATAAGTGATTCTAAAAAGAAAAAATAGTGAATGGATGTGGGGAAAACCATCAAATGTCACAATTCATTCTAGGAATTTCAGTTTGCGCTTTTCTTTTTTGTTTGTCTTCCAGAAACTATAAATTTAACAGTGTTTTATTGTAAAATGACATGTTTAATTTATTACAGTCTTTTCCCCTTCATAGTTTTTTACTTTTTAAAAATATTATCCATTTACATGGTTGAGGTGAATATGCTTTTACCTTTTTTTCCTCTTGTAAGTTGTTCTGAAATAGCTGATAAAAGCTTTTTATTGGTTTATGAATACCGGTCATAGTTTACTGCATGTGAGATGATAACCACTCTGATAATGAAGGAATGTGTTCGGATGGCTGTTAATCAGGCTGATATGCTTACTATGAGATTCGGCAGATTAACTATTTGTTGCATTTAATCCTTTAACAATAGTATTAGTTGCTTTAGTCCTGTGCATCACCATATAAATCAGTGTTTGATTACGGTTTATGAGCCAGCACTAAACCGATCACCGTCAGGATGATTTAAGTACAGCTTGTACTCGATGCATCTTTCTGTAGTTGTGTTTGAACCATTTCAAGATTCAAAATGAGTTATTTGTGCGTTTCAGGACTTTGGTCTGGATGTGGAGGCCTTTCGGCTGATGGTTGAAGACTGTCCAGCTCATTTCTTCAACCTGGCAGTCGTCTGTTGTGGCGTAAGACCCTTTATATACATCTACATGCATTTTATTTTGTCCAGCTATACGTGGCTTGATGTGCAAACATATATTTGAAGGAATAAATACTCCTCAGACATCACTTCTCTCTCCCAGATCAAGCACACAAGCATGAGGCTAATTGTAGTTTAACTATAGATCTGTAAAGAGATCATAACCTCCATTGGAGAAAGTGTAACGGCCAACTTGTATCACGTGTACTTTGTAAAGCTACTGAGATTATAGCTTTCCTGACATTGAATGCTTTTGGAGTTTTATAACTTTCAATCATAGTGTGAAGATTCCATAAAAGTAAGAACTGCTGTAAGAGTTTGACCAGTTTACAGATATAGCTCACTCGAAAGTGAATATTTAATGGCAAACACATTAGATTACAATAAAGCCTGTTGTGTGATGCTCTTTATTGATTAATCGTGACTAATTGCGTAGAGTTATTTGAGTTTTTTTATTACTTAATATTCCTTAATATTCCATATTACATATGTGCGCGAACTGTATATACTTATGTTTGTAATATAATGCACACCTTAAAATATTTAAATATATTAATATTCATATATTTATCATATAATAATACTGTATATATCATTAGAAATAAATATTTTTATTTGTGCAAAGCAGAAGATAAAATTATTAGCTCTCCCTTTGAATATTATTTTTATTTATTTTGTTCAAATATTTCAAGCAAGCAAGAAAACTTCCACTATTTCTTTTTTGTTTTTTTCTTCTGCTGAAGGTCTTCTTTTTAAAAAATTAAATAAAAACAACAGCAATTAATTTTTTTTACATTTTTAGGTCAATATTATTAGCCCCCTAATAATGTTTTTTTTGATTGGCTGCAGAACAAACCACTGTTGGCCAATGGATTGCCTAGTTGACTAATTAACCTAGTTGAACCTTTTAAATTGCGCTTTGAGTTAAATACTAGTATATTGTAAAATAACTAGTACATTCATCGTCATTGCAAAGGGTGCCTGCAGGATCTTAAAGTATTAAAGTAGTTGTCCTGAGTGTAATTTTAAGGCTTGGTTGTGTTTATGGGGTCCAAATCAATGTGTTCTCATGCTTCATTTGTAGAAAATCAGGTTATTTTTCGTATATCTTACTTTAATTTTATACTGCTACTCAGCTAACATGAAATCGACTGTCATATTTCCTAGTTCCTCTGAAAGGCCCGCCCTCAAGAGGCTATGATTGTTTAGCTAACATAATATGCTTTGATTTGCGGATCGGCTCCAGGTCACCAGGAAAAGCGTCACACCTCCACAAGCATGCTCTTTGTCTCTGCTGTGTAGGTACTCTCAGTAAGAATAGCTGTAAGCCGTATCAGCTTAAGCCTGAATAGGACAAAATTAAAAGGAGACAGCTGAACCTCACGCCTTTCACATACATTCGAAATAATCATTGTAAACAATATAAAATGTTCACATATCTTTTGCGAGTTTATTTGAGATGTAGAACACACGGAAAGCAGCCGCATGGAGGGACACTGCAGCACTGATGAAGATTATAGGTGTTTACAGCAGTTTGACGGATAAATATGAATTTGTAGCTAAATTGCTAGCGGTGCCAAACAGCATTTCAAGCTAATACTTAGGTTGTGGCTCACAATCCACAGCTTTTTCTGTTATATTTGGAGCTGCTCCAGGAGTTTTTAGCCAAATCCAGCACTGAACTGGGAGATATTCTGGAAGCTGTCTTTTGTCAAATGCTAGCTATATATTATTTATAATTCTCTGGAACAGAATTTAAATTAAATTGTAAGCACTTCTCTCTTTGCGCCATGTCCTTTGGAAGCACAAATACAGAAACAGAAGAAGCTCTGTAAAAATAGCAGCGTTTGGACAGTGTTTTAGCTTTCTCCGCTTCTGGCTTCGCCCCTTTGCTGTGTGGAGTGTATGCATGTGGTGAATGCTTGTAACCTGAAGCGTTTGTGATCTCAATAGCCTGGATGTATTTGTCCCAAATTCCCCAAACTAACTCTGTAAAACCCTTGCATTGAACTTTGAGCGTATTACATTTCAGAGATGGTGTTTATGTTTAAATTGAGGTGTAATATCTACAATACACATAAAGTAAAGTTTAAAATATGATATCAAACTGGACCATCCCTTTAATGTCTTGCATTTCAAAAACTAAGTTTATGCTTGAAGTGTTTTTCACAAATATTGTGTTGTAGGTTTTAAAAATTTCTTTTAACAGATCTTAATTTTGCTCTTTCCATTTAAGTGAACCAATCCAGACCACCAACAAGCCATGTGAAAAAAAAAGTTCAACAAAAGTTGTATTTATTTATTTACCAGTATGGTTTAATTATCTTTCTTAAAATAACATTTGTTATGAAGTCTCCATATATTTTCAGACCATATATGTTGAGGACACTGACCTGGACAGACTCTTCTGCATTAATTTAGTTTAGTATAGTCTTTGCATATATATATTCTTTAAAAAAAAAAAGTCATGATGGAAAAAAGATGCATCTACACAACTAGAGGTTTGCTTGTTTTGAAACATTGTTTAAAATATGGGGCTAAGAAGTGACATTTTGATGTGGCAAGTATAAATCTCTTCCACAGGCCATTAGAAAAAAAACCTTAATGTTTAATCCTGTAAAAGTCTGACATTTAATTCATATTGGTTTTAAAAAAGTTTTCGGCTTAGTCCCTTTATTAATCAGGGCTCGCCACAGCAGAATGAACCCCTAATAAACCCCTATCCAGCATATGTTTTACGCAGAAGATACCCTTCCAGCTGCAATCCATCACAGGGAAACACCCGCACACTCTTATTCACACACATACACTACGGACAATTTAGCTTATTCAATTCACCTATAGTGCATGTGCTTGGACTATGGGGGAAACCGGAGCACCAGGAGGAAACCCATGTGAACATGGCGAGAACATGCAAACTCCACACAGAAATGCTAACTGACCCAGCCGAGGCTCAAACCAGAGACCTTCTTGCTGTAAGATGACAGTGCTACCCACTGCACCACCGTGCCACCCACCTATTTATTTATTTTTTTTAGAATTGATTTCATAGGAGGCTATTCGTTTTGACATCAACTGTATAGATATATACAACCAAAAATGATCATGTTAATGCAAACTTTTATTTTGTGCAAATAGTCATGACTGATCATTTGTCCCTACAGTTGTAATATTGATATTCGGTTATATTAATAATGTCTTCTGTTCTCTGTTGACATGCTAAAAACATCAAACAAGACCATGTTGTAAACGCAGTCTAGTTTAATTCATGTGGGGAAAAAGCTTGCTGAATTAATGCAACCTTTGTGTATGTCAGTTTGAGGCACGTGTGTTTACATGCTTATTAACTGTCTCATTATCGTTATCATCTGTCTCTTCCAGATGAGTCCAGACAGTCGACCGTGCTTCTCAGAGGTGGTGGCAGAGCTGGAGAAGAGAGAGAGCGATGAACTGCAGACTGATCATTTGGAGTCTGATGTACAGGGTAAGTCAGATAAATAAAATAATCTCTGCAATTCACATTTATGTAATTACTTAGTATAATTAATCCAGATACCCTCGTCACAGCTACCAAATTGACCAATTCCAAGGCTTGTGCTTTGTAGTTTGTAGCAACTTGTTTTTTTTTAATAAGGTATGCGAATGCTGCACCGAAATGTACACGTGGGCTTGGCAGAAGTAAAATATCAGAATAATACAAGTATAAATTATAATATAAAAAGTATAAATTAGCCTTGACAAATATATATATATATATATATATATATATATATATATATATATATATATATATATATATATAATTGTGTGTGTGTGTATATATATATATATATATATATATATATATATATATATATATATACATTTATTTATTTATTTATAAAACATGAAAGCAGCTTGAAGTGGAAAGTGCAAGTATGTCTGGAGGTATTGTAAAGTTGATGATGACAACATTGCCCTAGCAGATATGTAAACTTGGGATTGCCCGCTGCGTGGTTTAAGTTGAGGTGCTATTTGTTTTTATATTCGTTTTATTTATATGTATAAATTTATTTATTTGTTAACTTTTGCGCTAAAGTCCAAAAGTGAAGAATTGGTGTTATTTATTACTTGATTTATTAAAAGCTACCTTACAGAAGTGCTCTGTTTGTAACAGAGTTGAGTGTTAAAATAAGGTGAATTAAATTAAAAAAAAGGAACATCCTGGATCTATTTCTTCGCTTTAAAAAAAAAAAAAAAGTATCGGATCAGGTTTCGGTATCAGTAGATACTCAGTCGAATGACACTGACTCCAGGGCAAAAAAACCTAATCGGGACATCCTTACTTAAAATGTCCAAAGAAGTGGGCATAGTATTATTAACAGATCCCTAAATTAACTGTGTTCCTCTTCTCTTTCAGATCAAATGTCCACAAGCTCAACACCTCTGAGTCGTGCTCATTCTCTAGACATCGCATCAGACCCTGTTCTCTGCCGCAGCAAGTCTGCAGTCCTGCTCCCTCCATCCCCTATCTTGAACAACACCACCCCCATGCGAGTCAACCCCTTCTCCCAACGGCAAGACCTAAATGGCGGCCGCATCAAACTCTTTGACACTCCCAGCAAATCTGTCATTTCCCTAACATTCACCCTCCCTCCACCCCCAGACCCCAGCAGCCCTGTCCCGCCACGTTCCCACAGACGCACCCAATCGCTGCCCTGCAAACCTCAAGACATCCAATCACTGTACAGCACTGCTGAGAAACGAATGAATCATCAGAGCATTATGGACAGAGATGTAAATATGCTGGAGATTGGAGGGGACAGTGTGTTGACCATGAGCAGTGGAAGTATTGCTGACCTCTCTGGTGTCCTTGACCCGAACACTACAGGTTCAAACCCAGAGCAAGAGGAAAATCTTGAATTGAGAAGTCAGGATGTTCTAGCGGATGACTCCGGTCTCCCGTTGGATCTAGAGGTGTTGTCCCCTAATAAATGGAGGAGCACTGAGGAGCTGATGGACTGCACTAGTTCTCCTGATACACTAGATGGCGCTGTTGATTCAACCAAACAGTTCTCCAATGGCTGGAGCTCACCGGTTTCTAACGGGCCACCCTCTTTACCTCCGTTATTAGACTTGGACAATAACAACAGCACCATCCCTATAAACCGGCCCCTGGGATGGGGAGTCAATAACTCCAATGGTGCCACGACCCCTCTGACGCCCACCGAACAGGACGAGGTTGTATCCTGTCCCGGTTGCTGTTTAGCAGGGATGAGCTTCCCTTCTATTTGCACACGCAGAGCTCGACAAAACCCTTATAAGAACTTGAATGGTGATGCGGCTGGGAAAAGGCTTCTGTGTAAAGCGTTGCCCCCATCACCTACAGAACCCAACATTACGCTTCCCGGCACGCGGACGTAAACAACACCTCCTGAAAAGGAGAGTTCAGAGTCCACACAAGATGTAGTGAAGAATGTTGGAAACCTGTAGCATTTGACATGCTTTGTAGGAAAAGCAAACGGATGTAAATGGCTACCGTTTCTAACATTCTTCAAAATATCCTCTTTTGTGTTTAACAGAAGAATGAAACTCATAAATATTTAGAAAGATTTGAGTAAATGAGGACAGAATTTTCATTTTTGAGTGAGCTGTCTCTTTAAAATAAATGCTACTGCTTAATGTGTTTGAACTAAAGTTCATGCTGGAGCTGAAAAAAAGGAAGCTATGTATTATTGTTGACTAGATTTCAAGCCCTAGTCCTCTAAACTTGAACACTCCTATAGGTTTTAATGCCTTCATAATGATGTGTTGCTAATATCTTTTTTTCGTTGTTATTTTTACAATTATTTGAAAGTTTATTGAAAAAACTATGAGAATGGATGGACAAAAATATAGATGTATATGTATTATTTTTATTAATGACATTAAATGACATGGACCAAAAAATAAACCAGCTGTGTTGTCTTTTGAGGATGTAAGTCATATTGTCTGCCGGGCGGATTTAGTGATTTTGGGGCTCTAAGCAATTCCAGCCATGGGACCCAAAAGTTCTAAAATTTATCATTAGTTTTTTTTTTGAGTATTTTTTCTACATTTTCTGTAATGCAAAATAATGTTAATAATAATAATAATAATAATATGTAAAGCACGTTGTAAAACTTTTTTTTTTAAACTTTTTTTTTTTTTTCTTAATTCACAACTTAACATAATAAATAAGGTAAATACGGTTTACTGATTTGAGGTTAAACCTAAACCTAAGGTTTACATGCGGTACAGGTGAATTGGGTTGGCTAAACTGTCCGTAGTGTATGAGTGTGTGTGGATGTTTCCCAGAGATGGGTTGCAGCTGGAAGGGCATCCGCTGCGTAAAAACTTGCTGGATAAGTTAAGGATGACAGTCAAGGATGACAATAAACATAAATGCTGTATAACAGAATCTTAGAAAAAACAAGTTTTTACAAAAATATGAAGCCGCACTACTGTTTTCAACATTGATAATGATGCTACAAAATTTTTCTTGACGCAGTGGTTTAGAATATATTTAAGAATATTAGAGTAATGATGCTGAGCATCTATTTTTGACATTCCAAATGACGTTTTTTTATACAAATATTAAAATACAAAATTGTATTTAAATTGTAAAATACATGATCATCTATATATTGTAGTGTACAGAAATAAAGGTACAGGAGCTTTCACTGGGGCAGTACCTTTTCAAAAGATGCATACCTGTATGCAAAGAGTTCACTTTCGTACCTTAAAGGTGCATTTTAGATCCCAAATGTTCCTACTGTATAAAGTACCTTTTGAGGTACCATCATGGACCAATCAGGTACAAATGTGTATCTTTTGAAAAAGTACCGCCCCAGTGACCGCTCCTGTGCCTTTATTTCTGTTCTTATTTTGTTCTGTTTCTTCTTGTCATTCCAGACAGACTGTATGGTGATCATATCAGATCTCTGTGTGGAGCACTGCTGTCAGATTCCTTGTGCAGACAATAATCTCACTGTAGAATTACAGTTAATGACAAAAATAATGTTTGGAATTGTACATTGATTTTTCAATCTGACATGCTACAGAAAAAAATATAGAAATAACCAATTTAAATGTATATTTTTTTGGTTTGCAGAGTGTCTAAGCGTCCTACCAGTGATGATATAGAGCCACATCACATTGATTACTACGAGCCACTACGAGTGTGATATTGCGTTTATACAACAGTTTGACAGCATAATCGTGTATATAGAAAAGAAAATCAAACAAAGTCTAAAAACCCTTTTGTAAGAGGAACTACTTTCTTAAGCCACATTCATATGCAGCTGACGCCAGAACAGCAAAAGCTGTTACTAATTCACCAACGTCAATTTATAGCTAGTATTTGAATAATTCTCTAGCGTAATGTCTAAAGTGATGACAAAACAGGTGATTTTGGCAACATTTTAAGATAAGGTTGAATGGCATGATATATGCCATCCCAGGCAGTGATTTCCCAGTATTTCTCTTTTCCAATCAGGAGATCACAGTATTACTATGGTACAAATACAACATACAAAAGAAAGAGAATGACTTAAAGTCACACATCTGTTTAATAATGATTTGATTACCTGTAGTCTGAAATCACACTGTATTTTTCATAGGGCTTATGCGGTCTCTGTGCCATCTGGTGGAGGCACATCGTCAACCGTCTTTGCTTAAAGGCAGGCTAATGGCCGACGTCTCTCAGAAATGAATAATTAAATAGGAATGCATTCGTTTAGATTGCAACTATGCAGTTTATTTATAAGGATAGTGCCTGACTAAATTAAGCCTCAAAAGTACATTGTGTTGTACAACAACAGCAATATTTGCCAAAGTGTTCTGCCAAAGTGTGCCAGAGTGTTCTGCTTGTCGCTGTTATGTAGGCGGAGTAATACACGAGGGTGAAGAGGCTGGTCAAGTGCTGTTACCGGCAAATACTGACCTTATTTTAAAATGCGGAAGTGCGCCTGTTTTCGTGATTGTCTTAGAACTTCCGTTTCAGTCGCCAACGGGAGAAATGACTAGGAATAATAAACGGCAAAAAACGGTCAAACTAGTTGCTCTACAAACAAATGTTTGCATGACTATACAGACCAAGTAGAATAATATAACAAGGAAATATCAGTTTGCAACATCAAACAGCGAAACGAGCAGTTTTTAATGTCTAAAAATGAATGGAAGTGAATGTGACCGGAAGTCTCGTGCCAAAAAGATTCAAATGGCAGCGCCCGCTCGTCACATATATATTATAATTAATTAATTTTTTTAGCTTCTAAATGAATGTTTGTGCCCTTTCCACTAGATGTTGCCTTTGTTCTCTCCTCTTTCTTCTGAGAGCGCTTCAGTCCCTGTGTGGTTTTGTGGCATAAGTTGTGCTGTGACATCTGTCCTGCTCTCACTGTTTCTGCTCACCCACTGAAAGTATCAGCTAATGAGATCTCTCCATTCTTCTGGTGGAAGGTAATGCTTTTATCTGGGTATTTCAACATAGATCTGTAATATTTATTACGTAACATAACACAAACAACTTCTCAGGGAGTGTGGATGGCTATTATCGGCTATGGAATTTTGAAAAAAATGCAGCTGTTTATAAATTAATTAATTTATGTATTTTTTATGAATCAGTGTGCTGTTTTGGGGATGCATGTCACTCTCCTAGATGTTTTTTCTTTTCTGTTGATGTTGAATCTGGGTGAGTTTATTTGCTGTTTTCTTAACTTTTTAACTGATAAATACATTTTATAATATTTTAGTTTTTTAAATTTACAAAATAAAAGCATAATATATGACAATGAATACACAAAAAAGATTTAAAGATGATTCCATGGATTTAATTTTTTATTTTTTTTTTTGGCTAAGTGGTTAAAAACAATTTATTCAGGCAGTATTTAATCATGTAGTTGAACATTTAATTTGTTTGTTTAAATTATACCCATATAAATAGTTTGCAACAATTTAGCAGAAATCTTTTTTTCAGTGCATGTGCTGTGTTTTTGCAAAGAAACTGTTTATTTGTAGTTTTTCTCCATCTGTGAGACACAGGTGCAGCTTGTTCTTCTTTTCATGTTTCCTTTAGAGTCTGTTCTCTGTGTCTGTGACGTCAAAGTCCATATCATCAATTTTGGGTGCCATCTTGAGTGGAATTGCTCTGATGCCAACCCTGAGACCACTTACATTGTCTCAGCCAAGTCACACGGGTAGGTTGGTAAGTTTCATCTGAAGAAAAAAAAAAAAAGGCTTTAGAAACACACGAGCGGCAGTGAATGACGTAGTAGATGTTGTTTTAGGAAGAAATGAGAGTGAGACGAGAGCAGTTGAGTGCTGGGATGAGAGGTGAAACTGTGCGGTTCAGCAGAAAAACCACAGTAAAACACAATCCTGGCTGACTGTCCTCGGTTTATACACTCGTGTTATCGCTTTGGGCCCGCTCAGTTTCCTCTGCATTAAAAATGAAAATGACTCACCATTTTTTTCCAAAATGATGTGTGATATGTAAAAGTCATGTTTTTGAGAAAATGGAAGTCAGAAATGTCTGCTTGTTTCACACTCATCAGATGATTTGTTGATGTTGTGTGTTTGTGTAGCAGTACTGGATGGAGTAATGTTTCTGGCTGCATCCAGATTTCCAGACGCCGCTGTGATCTGTCGCATGTCTTTCCAAACCTGAACGGCTATAACTTCATCAGACTAAGATCAGAAAAGCAGCCCTGGATGAATGTCACCCTCTGTGACCCTATGAATGACCGTCAGTATTAAACCTCAAACAGATTTAGATCTCAGAGAAAGGCACATAAATCAGCCATCACACAAAGCTTTTTCACTCATAAAACACTGGGGTTTAAGTCAATTATTTACAAAAAGAAAACAACTACTAGAATAGATTTTTAACCCAGAACTTTAGTTTGTCCCTATTTTACCCAAATTATGGTAGTACCCACCTTTTTTAATCATTTTTAATAGCCTAACTTTAAATTCATTTTTAATAGCCTAACTTTAAATTCATAAACACTTCAGTGTTCATTTTCTTTTGTGTTCAACAGTAGAAAGAAACTCAAATAGGTTTTGAACATGTGAACAAAGAGTAAATGATGATTTTTCAGGTGAACTATCCCTTTAATAGTTTTATTTTTTTTTAGCTGCTGCTAAATTCAGCCCGCCCTCCATAACCATTTCAGTGGACAATGGAAGTCTCTGGGTGACGGTACGCTTTCCTCATGCACCATCCATCAGCTGCAGCAGGACTGATGATGATGATGATGATGATGATGATGATGATGATGATGATGAGGAGGAGGAGCAGGAAGAGGAGGAGCAGGAAGAGGAGCAGTTGGATGAGGGCTGCCCCCTAAATGAATTTAAAAGCCTCTCGGCCACAGTCACTCTGTACAACAAACACAAACTCAAAGACAGACAGGTGCGACTTCATAGCCCTTCCACCCAGGTCTTTGTTTTTGTTTTTTTGTATAGTTTACTTGTATGGTTTTTTTTTTTTTTTTTTAATTACAGAAAATGTGACCCTGGACTGAAAAAATAAGCTTTCCATTGATTTAGGGTTTGTTAGTGTGGGACAACATTTAATTGAAATCCAACTATTTGAAAATGAGGGTTCAGAAAAATCTAAAATCTCCTTTAAAGCTCTCCAAATGAAGTTTATATCAATTCAAATTACTAATCAAAAATACAGTGTTGATATGTCTGCAAATAGAAACTTACAAAATATCTTCACAGAACATGGTCTTTACTTAATTTTAAAAAATTGTATCATTAAAAAACATCTATAATTGTAGATATACATAATAGATTTTATGTATATGTATGAATACATTTATTACATACATATACATATCTATAATTAATACAATATGTTTGAGCCTTAGATTCTGCTTTTTCAATTCCTCTACACACATTTGTTTCATGTCTGAGAAGAGCTGACCTGTTGATCTGACAGTAATGTTTCTGCTCATCTAAATCACTCGCACACAAGAAACAGAGAAGGATCGCTTTACTAATATTAGCAATAAAACGGAACTTAAACTGTGAAAACTGGACAGAAGCCATTTCAATCTACTAGAACCTGATCTGTGTAAAGCTGCTCTGACACAGTCTATTGTAAAAGTGCTATAGAAAAAAATATCTTACCTCATTTAATAATTTGAAACCTTTTTGAGTTCTGTCAAACATAAAAGAAGATATTTTGAAGAATTATGGTTGTTGCAAGTCAGTGGGTAATATCAGCCAGCATAATTCAAGATATCTTCTTTTGTTTTTAACAGAAGAAAAAACTCAAACAGGTTTTGAACAAGTGAAGGGTGAGTGAATGATGGCAGAATTTTCCTTTTTGGGTGAACTATATATTTAAAACTGAAACTTTATGAAATAAAAACAATTGTGACATATTGATATTTCAGCCTACAGTGTGTCTAATATTCCACACACGCACTTGCCATTCATTCATTCATTTATTCATTTTCTTTTCTGCTTAGTCCCTTTATTAATCTGGGGTCACCACAGCAGAATGAACCACCAACTTATCCAGCACATGCTTTACACAGCGGATGCCCTTCCAGCCACAACCTAACACTGGGGAACATTTATACAGTCATTCACACACACAGTCATACTGTCACTTTTAGCATACCCAATTCACCTGCCCCACATGTCTTTAGACTTGTGGGGAAAACCGGAGCACCGGAACATGCAAACTCCACACAGAAATGCCTACTGACCCAGCCAAGGCATGAACCAGATTCCTTGCTGTGGGGTGAACATGCGACCCACTGCGCCACCGCGTCTCCTTCACACTTTCCATATATAAATTATTAGAAACTCTGTAGGCTGAGATATCAATGTCATAATTGTTTTTATCTCTTATATATATGATTATTTATTTTAAAATTGCTTTATTTACTTGCAACAACGAAGTGTATTCAAATTTTAAATGCATTTGCACCCTTAATTTTTTTGTTTTTTATATAAATATATTTATTATTATTATTTTATTTATATTTATTATTTGTACATTTTATTTATTCTATATTTTTTATTAATTAATTTACATTTTTTAAAAATCCACAATTTACCTATTTTTATCCATTATTTGATCTGAGAATCTGAGAATTGTTGCCTGCATTGGGGGTGGAGCAATGCAAGGGGGTGGTGCTTTTTAGGTGTTAATTTTAAATGTCAGCTGTTTCTCAGAAATCGTTTACTGTAATATTGAATTTAGTTGTTTGATATTTTCATTCATTTTCTTGAAGATCTGCAATGTAGGAATACGGGACAAAAGCCAATGCACGGTAGAGTTTGGTTTTCTTGATCCAGAAGAGGTGTACTGCGCAGAGGCCAGCTTCACAGCTGAAGATGTTCTGACATCTTCACCCACGAGTCTCCCACTCTGTGTTCAAATACCAGCAAACACTGCTCTGCAAAACACTGGTCTGTTATTAAGACTCACACTGAGATGTAATGAGTTAGTTGCATATGTTTGTTCACTGGCTTGTGTGTGTGTGTGTGTGTGTGCGTGTGTGTGTGTGCGTGTGTTCGTGTGTGTGTGTGTGTTCGTGTGTGTGTGTGTTCGTGTGTGTGTGTGTGTGTGTGTGTGTGTTCGTGTGTGTTCTTCAGAAAGCCTCATCGCGGTGATTGTGTGTGCTGTTCTCATCACTCTGGGCCTGGTGTTTCTACTGCTCTGGAGGGGGTGTGCATCTTCTGAACGTCCCCTGCCCAGATCTTTGGTACTGAACTTTATAGCTTTGAAATATTACACAGGCAAGGCTACACTGTAAAAAATGCTGGGTTCCAAACATGTTGTCCCATCACAAATCGATTAAAGTAACTGAATCATTTTTTAACAAATTTAGTTGGATTGAACATAAAACAATTAAGATGTCCACCAAAAAACTCAACAATTGTGTTGTTTTAACTCATTTTAAATACGTAGTTTGAACAAGCAGCAAAAGTCATTTGAGTGTACATACAGTTGAAGTCAGAATTATTATCCCCCTGAATTATTAGCGCCCGTTTATTTTTTTCCTCAAATTCTGTTTAACGGAGAGAAGCTTTTCAACACATTTCTAAATATAATAGTTTTAATAACTCATTTTTAATAGCTGCTTTTTTATTCTTTGCCATGATGACAGTAAAGTGACATTTAAAGGCTTAACTAGGTTAATTAGGTTAACTAGGCAGGTTAGGGTAGTAAGGCAAGTTATTGTGTAATGATGGTTTGTTCTGTAAATTATCAAAAAAAAAAAAGTACATAGCTTAAAGGGGCTAATAATTTTGATCTTAAAGTGTTTTTAAATTATTAAAATTAAAAACTGCTTTTATTTTTAGCTGAAATAAAACAACTTTATCAAGACTTTATCCGGAAGAAAAAATATTATCAGACATATTGTAAAAAGTTCCTTGCTCTGTTAAACATTATTTTGGAAATATTTAAAAAAAAAAAAAAAAAAAAAATGAACACGAGGCCTAATAATTCTGACTTCAGCTGTATGTGTTTAATAATAATAATTAAATTTTGAGTTGTTTACATGTTAAATAACCAAAAGGGCCATTGAGGATCTTTTCAAGGATGACATTTACATTAGTTTCTAGCTAATTTAAAATAAAACTGAAATGTGATTTACATTTAAGAACTGTTTGCTATTTTAATTCTAATTGAATTGAATTTTTTCAAATTTATTTCAATTTTATTTAATTTATTCAAATTTTATTTTAATTTCAAATCCTATGCTTTAGAGTCCTGGACGGGCCTTAAATCTAAGCCCTAGCCCTGGCCCAGGCTGTAGCCCTGCCCTTGTTCAACAGCTTATCAAAGTTTTTCCCCGAGTCCGACCCGAAGCCCGTTTTTTCAAACAGTTTATACTGTTACAACCATTAAAATAGACGAGATTTGTATTTAAAAGAAAGTTGATGTTTTTTATCAGAATAATTTAGAGAAATGTTTGGAGTTTATTTTTTCGGTTGTTCTTTTAAATGTAAGTTTTAGTTTATAAGTGACATGGATATGGAAGCAGTATGGGGTCCACATTGAGTTTACATGTTGTGCATTCTGCATAACCAGTTGGCTCATCATTTAAAGTTGTCACTATTTAAAACGTTTACCAGAAGTTTGCCTTTCCTCTAGCATTTTTCAGTTTTAAGTTCACCATTGGCAATTTTTCTCTTTATGTTCTCCACTGCACGTGGCTGGAAATCTCAATGCGCAATGCATCACTGGCACTTCGGGAACGCACGCATTAGATCTCCTTTAACTTTTTTTACTCAAACTTTTTTCTGAAGCATATCTGTTTTTCTACAGGAGGAAAATATAAATTATTTCCAAATACTTAAAATATATATCTATGTTGTAAGGTTATAAGTATAAAATATAGTTACTCACCTGGGAAATGGAGACGCAATTAAGTGCACACAGCAGGCCATATCATCTGATAATTGTAGGAAATAATTCCAAAAGGCACGTGTGTAAATCCACATTAAACAAAACAAATATACAATGTAAATACAAAGTTCAGCGGCTAATCAGCCGGAATCAGCTAAGGTGAAGTGACAGCGACCAGCGAGACCTCACTCAAGTGGCCATGTCCTTAATTATGCAGACTTAATAAATCTTAATATACACAAAAATACCCCTCCCCCCCCATTTGTCAGGAAGGGTAATAAAAGCTATATGAATCAAAATCTTTCTTTGTAGCAGGCTGTAAACACCTCTTATTTCTACTGTAAAGTTGGGCATTTTAACGGTTGGGTCAATAGAAATTTGCTCTATTATGGAGTCAGGACTCGCAGAATTTCGATGAAATGCAATTTCAGTTACTTCTGTATTTGCTTTAGGAGGGAGTGTGGGAGTTTATCACTATGATGTGAAAATGGGCCTGAAGCCTGGCCCTAGGGGCAAAAAAAAGACGGCTCTAACGGGCTCAGGCTCAAATGCAGGGCTCTAATATGCTTATTTCCTGTTCTATTATGTGAGTATTATTGCTTCTCAGTCATTAACAGTGGTTCATATTACGATCAGTGTTAAAAACAGGACTCGTACATTTTACTTTTAGAATTCTTTGGTGAATGAAAAATTTAAAATGAGAAATAATAATATATTTTGTACAATTTACTTTCACTTTCAGTTGATTTAATGTATCCTTGATATAATAACTTGTAAATAGTAACTCTGAATAGTAATCAACCACAGTTTCTACAAATATATAAAGTTTTCACCATTGGTCAAAGTCAAAAATGCTTCCTGAACAGCAGATTCAGCATATTGTAATGATTTGAATCATATGAATAAATGACATGTTTCAATACTCACATTTGAAATATTTCTATATTTATTGATATTTTTAAAAAGAATAAATGCAGCCTTGAGGAACAAAAGAGACTTATAAAAAAATACAAACAGATTCAAAACAACCTAAACATCATTTTGAATGTTAAAGGGACACTCCACTCTGTTTTTTAGGCTTTACTTCAAGACCTGGAACTTCAGAAAGAGACAATTAACGACTTCTGTATGACCGAACCACCAAACGAGATCTCAGACGATGACCACATTTCTGTTGTGTCCTTCCCTGACTTCCCACTCACAGAAAGCCAATCATCATACCAGAACACCCAGAACCTGGGAAACGGCTATTACTTCAGTCCCGTCCTGCAAAATCCAGACCCCGATGATGAATATGTGGAGTCTGGAGAGTCTGGCAATGAAGAGCAAATCCATGAGCTCCATTTGTTTCCATCACATTCGTCTTTGGAAGAATCTCTGCATCAGAATCAACATCAAGAGGAGACTCTGAACATCCCTCTGAGCTCAGTGTGGGTGAAAAATGCTCAACGGGATGAGACGGCAACTGAAGAGCAGTGTGGAGAGCTCATGTGGAGGTGTGGAGATCTTTAAAACTCAATGTGAGACACTGAAGAGGTCAGAGCAACATCTCTCAATACAGCTTTCTTTTATAGACAGACTCTGATTTTTAGTGCTGTTAGCTCAAGTGTAGTGTCATGTGTATTGTAGTGCTTCGATACTTCACTCACTGATCATTTTATCCTTATACTTAAAGAATTTTCATCTTGATTGTAGTTTAAACTATGATTTATCCAAGGTGCCAAATACTACACAACCTCTTAAAAAGTAATGTTAGCTCAAGTAATCTGATCTTTAAACTTGTCATTTTCACATTGTATTTTTTTTTCTCAAAAAAATTGAAAAAACATTCCAAGGAGTTCTCATTGGTAAATCTCATTTAATTGTATTACGTACTGTGATTGTATAATGGAGGATGAGTGCTTGATTCTTGATTCTGGCTGATGAACATTCTGCATTGTGCAATTAATTTCATGTAAACACATGGCTAAAGGCAGATCTTGACCACATTACAGTTTTTGTATCAATGTCAGGGCTCTATATCACAATAAATGTCAAGATATCACCATACTAAAGCCGCTATAGGGCTTTAGTATCAATTTGGAAATAAAATGTATTTTTAGAAGTTTTTAGTAATGGTAATATTTTTTTTTTTTTTTTTTTTTTACATTTGAATAGTCAGTGTTTAAATAGTTAAAATAACCAGGGGTGTTGCTAGACATAAAGCTCTACTAGGGCATAGGCCCCCCTCAACTGAATTAATGTCATATGACAATTTTAGGGAACACAAAAAATTGTATAAAATTATCTTTTGTCTGAAACCTGACTCTGATGGCGGATAATTAATGTTATTAAATCTAACCTATCTGACTCATCACTTCTCCTTTGTGCTTTATACAAAAATGATCTTACAGGAACCATGTTTAGTCAAAATATGATCATCATATTATTACTTAATGTGGTGCCGACACCACTGGATTAAAGGTGTGTAATTTTTTGGCGTGTTTGTTAAACAACCAGAAGCAGGACTTGTGCACGGTAATGGTTTTCTGCGCGTATTCGTCAGTTTGTTTTTGATTAAACCACATTGTTTTCGCAAGCGTTAATTCGGTTGTACATAGAGAACAATGTATTTATTTTGGGATTACCACTCTTAATACATTTACACTGGCTATTTTTACTGGGATAAAATAGGGTCTAGCGACACCCCTTGTGAGTCTCCTTCTTTAGCTCCACTCCAATTTGCAAAAGACAAAGACAGAATCAACAGAGCCCCACCTGCTGGCTGAGCTCCAGCAATGCACAAGCTATTCTCCAGCAATTTTCAGATAAATCTCCACTGATGCTTCTTCTGCCTGTTGTGGTTCCATTACCTACAAGTTAATAACAGAGAAAACATCTATCTAACAATCAATGCCCATCTTCCTCTTGAAAGGACATCCATCACTGCACTCATCCTTCTGTCTTTGAAGAATATTCCTGATCAGCAGTTTTTCAGTCATTGCTGAGGTGTATGATTCCTATTTGTCTCCACATGCTGTCCTCCAGTCTGTAACAAGACAAAGACAGGACTAACAGAGCTCTACGTGCTTGCTGAGCTCCAGCAATGCACAAGCTGTTCTCCAGTGTGTTCTTCAGATAAATCTCCACTGATGCTCTGAGTTTCCTCCTTTTGCATGTAGTTTGTCTATTACCTGAAAAAGAAACACCTGCAAAAAACAAGACATCTATCTAACTATCTAAGCCCACCACCACCCCCTTCCTGTTGGAAGGACATCTATTTATCATCCATTCATTCATCCATCCATACATCTGTGAAATGCCTCATTTGATCATCAGTTTGCAGTCATTGCTGAGGTGTGATTCCCAGTTCTCCACATGCCCCAGCTTAATCTGCAAAAGACAAAAAAAGACTAACAGAGCTCTACATGCTGGCTGATCTACAGCAATAAAAAGTGTTCTCCAGTGTTCTTCAGATAAATCTCCACTGATGTTCTTGTGAGTTTCCTTATTCTGCCTGTTGTGGTTCTGTTACCTACAATTGAAATACCTCCTACAGAGAAGACCTCTATCTCACAATCTATGCCCACCTCCACCCCCTACTTCTTGGAAGGACATCCATCTATGCGCTCATCCTTCTGCCTTTGAAGGATATTCCTGATCATCAGTTTCCAGTCATTGCTCAGGTGTGTGATTCATATTTGTCTCCACATGCTGTCCTCCAGTCTGTAACAGACAAAGACAGGACTAACAGAGCTCTACATGCTGGCTGATCTTCAGCAATGCACAAGCTGTTCTCCAGTGTTCTTCAGGTAAATCTCCACTGATGCTATTGTGAGTTTCCTCCTTTTTTGTATGTTGTGTGTGCATTACCTGAAAAGAAACACATCCCACAAACAAGATATCTATCTAACTAACTAAGCCCACCACCACCCCCTTCCTGTTGGAAGGACATCTATTTATCTATCCATTCATTAATCCATCCATCCATCCATCCATCCGGGAAATGCCTCATTTGATCATCAATTTGCAGTCATTGCTGAGGTGTGATTCCCATTTCTCTACATGCCCCAGTCTAATCTGCAAAAGACAAAAACAAGACTAACAGAGCTCTACATGCTGGCTGATCTACAGCAATAAACAACACATTCTCCAGTGTTCTTCAAATAAATCTGCACTGATGCTCTTGTGAGTTTCCTCCTTTTGTATGTTGTGTGTGCATTACCTGAAAAAGAAACATCTGCTGCATACAAGACATATATCTATCAATCTATGCCCTCCTCCACCCCGTTCCTCTTGGGAGGGCATCTATTCATCCATCCATAGATCCAGGAAATACCTGACCAGACCATCAGTTTGCAGTCATGGCTGAGGTGTGATTCCCATTTCTCCACATGCCCCAGCTTAATCTGTAAAAGACAAAAACAAGACTAACAGAGCTCTACATGCTGGCTGAGCTCTAGAAGTGCACAAACTGTTCTCCAGTGTGTTCTTCAGATAAATCTCCACTGATGCTCTTGTGAGTTTCCTTCTTTTTTGCATGTTCTGTCTGCATTACCTGAAAAAGAAACACCTGCCAAAAACAAGAGATCTATCTATCTAAGCCCACCACCACCCCTTTCCTGTTGGAAAGGCATCTATTTATCCATCCATCCATCTGGGAAATGCCTCATTTGATCATCAGTTTGCAGTCATTGCTGAGGTGTGATTCCCATTTCTCCACATGCCCCAGCTTAATCTGTAAAAGACAAAAACAAGACTAACAGAGCTCTACATACTGGCTGAGCTCCAGCAATGCTCACACTGTTCTCCAGTGTTCTTCAGATAAATCTCCACTGATGTTCTTGTGAGTTTCCTTATTCTGCCTGTTATGTGTCCATTACCTGAAAAAGAAACACCTGCTGCAGAGAAGACATCTATTTAGCAATCTTTGCTCACCTCCACCCTCTACTTTTTGGAAGGACATCCATCTATGCATCCATTTATCTGCCTTTGAAGGATATTCCTGATCATTAGTCATTGCTGAGATGTGTGATTCTCATTTGTCTCCACATGCTGTCCTCCAGTCTGTAAAAGACAAAAACAAGACTAACAGAGCTCTACATGCTGTCTGAGCTCCAGCAATGCACAAGCTGTTCTCCAGTGTTCTTCAGATAAATCTCCACTGATGCTCTTATGAGTTTCCTTCTTTTGCATGTTGTGTCTGCATTACCTGAAAAAGAAACACCTGCCACAAACAAGAGATCTATCTATCTAAGCCCACCACCACCCCCTTCCTGTTGGAAGGGCATCTATTTATCCATCCATCCATACATCCATCCATCCGGGAAATACCTCATTTGATCATCAATTTGCAGTCATTGCTGAGATGTGATTTCCATTTTTCCACATGCCCCAGTCTAATCTGTAAAAGACAAAAACAGACTCTCATGAGCTCTACATGCTGGCTGATCTACAGCAATAAACAAAATGTTCTCCAGTGTTCTTCAGATAAATCTACACTGACGCTTTTGTGAGTTTCCTACTTTTGTATGTTGTGTGTGCATTACCTGAAAAAGAAACATCTGCCGCATACAAGACATCTATCTAACTATCTATGCCCTCCTCCACCCCCTTCCTCTTAGAAGGGCATCTATTCATCCATCCATCCATCCATCCATCCATCCATCTGTGAAATGCCTCATTTGATCATCTATTTGCAGTCATTGCTGAGGTGTGATTTCCATTTCTCCACATGCCCCAGTCTAATCTGCAAAAGACAAAAACAAGACTAACAGAGCTCTACATGCTGGCTGAGCTCCAGAAGTGCACAAGCTGTTCTCCAGTGTTCTTCAGATAAATCTCCACTGATGCTCTTAGTTTCCTTATTCTGCCTGTTGTGTGTCCATTACCTGAAAAAGAAACACCTGCTGCAGGGAAGACATCTATTTAGCAATCTTTGCTCACCTCCACCCTCTACTTCTTGGAAGGAAATCCATCTATGCATCCATTTATCTGCCTTTGAAGGATATTCCTGACCATTAGTCATTGCTGAGGTGTGTGATTCTCATTTGTCTCCACATGCTGTACTCCAGTCTGTAAAAGACAAAAACAAGACTAACAGAGCTCTACATGCTGTCTGAGCTCCAGCAATGCACAAGCTGTTCTCCAGTGTTCTTCAGATAAATCTCCACTGATGCTCTTATGAGTTTCCTTCTTTTGCATGTTGTGTCTGCATTACCTGAAAAAGAAACACCTGCCAAAAACAAGAGATCTAACTATCTAATCCCACCACCACCCCCTTCCTGTTGGAAAGGCATCTATTCATCCATCCATACATCCATCCATCGATCCATCTGGGAAATGCCTCATTTGATCATCAGTTTGCAGTCATTGCTGAGGTGTGATTCCCATTTCTCCGCATGCCCCAGTTTAATCTCTAAAAGACAAAAACAAGACTAACAGAGCTCTACATGCTTTCTGAGCTCCAGCAATGCACACACTGTTCTCCAGTGTTCTTCAGATAAATCTCCAATGATGCTCTGAGTTTCCTCCTTTTGCATGTTGTGTGTCCATTACCTGAAAAAGAAACACCTGCCACAAACAAGACATCTATCTAACTATCTAAGCCCACCACCACCCCTTCCTATTGGAAGGACATATATTTATCATCCATTCATTCATCCATCCATATATCCATCCGGGAAATACCTCATTTGATCATCAGTTTGCAGTCATTGCTGAGGTGTGATTCCCATTTCTCCACATGCCCCAGTCTAATCTGCAAAAGACAAAACAAGACTAACAGAGCTCTACATGCTGGCTGATCTACAGCAATAAACAACATGTTCTCCAGTGTTCTTCAAATAAATCTGCACTGATGTTCTTGTGAGTTTCCTTCTTTTGCATGTTGTGTCTGCATTACCTGAAAAAGAAACACCTGCCAAAAACAAAAGATCTATCTATCTAAGCCCACCACCACCCCCTTCCTGTTGGAAAGGCATCTATTTATCCATCCATCCATCCATCCATCTGGGAAATGCCTCATTTGATCATCAGTTTGCAGTCATTGCTGAGGTGTGATTCCCATTTCTCCACATGCCCCAGTTTAATCTGTAAAAGACAAAAACAAGACTAACAGGGCTCTACGTGCTTTCTGAGCTCCAGCAATGCACAAGCTGTTCTCCAGTGTTCTTCAGATAAATCTTCACTGATGCTCTTATGAGTTTCCTCCTTTTGCATGTTGTGTGTGCTTTACCTGAAAAAAAAACATCTGCCGCATACAAGACATCTATCTAACTATCTATGCCCTCCTCCACCCCCTTCCTCTTAGAAGGGCATCTATTCATCCATCCATCCATCTGTGAAATGCCTCATTTGATCATCTATTTGCAGTCATTGCTGAGGTGTGATTTCCATTTCTCCACATGCCCCAGTCTAATCTGTAAAAGACAAAAACAGACTCTCATGAGCTCTACATGCTGTCTGATCTACAGCAATAAACAACATGTTCTCCAGTGTTCTTCAGATAAATCTACACTGACGCTTTTGTGTGTTTCCTACTTTTGTATGTTGTGTGTGCATTACCTGAAAAAGAAACATCTGCCGCATACAAGACATATATCTATCAATCTATGCCCTCCTCCACCCCCTTCCTCTTGGAAGGGCATCTATTTATCCATCCATCCATCCATCCAGGAAATAACTGACTAGACCATCAGTTTGCAGTCATAGCTGAGGTGTGATTTCCATTTCTCCACATGCCCTAGCTTAATCTGTAAAAGACAAAAACAAGACTAACAGAGCTCTACATGCTGTCTGATCTTCAGCAATGCACAAGCTGTTCTCCAGTGTTCTTCAGATAAATCTCCACTGATGCTCTTATGAGTTTCCTCCTTTTACATGTTGTGTCTGCATTACCTGAAAAAGAAACACCTGCCAAAAACAAGAGATCTAACTATCTAAGCCCACCACCACCACCTTCCGGTTGGAGGGGCATCTATTTATCCATCCATCCATCCATCCATCCACCCATGCATCCATCCGGGAAATGCCTCATTTGATCATCAGTTTGCAGCCATTGCTGAGGTGTGATTCCTATTTTTCCACATGCCCCAGCTTAATCTGCAAAAGACAAAACAAGACTAACAGAGCTCTACATGCTGGCTGATCTTCAGCAATGCACAAGCTGTTCTCCAGTGTTCTTCAGATAAATCTCCACTGATGCTCTTATGAGTTTCCTTCTTTTGCATGTTGTGTGTGCATTACCTGAAAAAGAAACACCTGCCACAGTCAAAACATCTAACTATCTAAGCCCACCTCCACCCTCTTCCTCTTGAAAGATGTCTGCTGTCCTTTCATCTTGTTGGAAGGACATAGATAGTTGATGCCTGACATCAGTTTCTTATCATTCCTGTGTGATTCCCTAGTTTCTCCACTCGACTCTGTAAAAGACCAAGACAACTTCAATAGAACTCTACCTGCTTGTTTAATGCTATCTATCTATCTATATGAAAGACCTACCTGACCATCACTTACTCTGTAAAAATTACAGCATATAATTTAAAATTACGATGTGCTTGTCATTATTAAGGTGTGTTTCCCTGTTTCACCACATGCTCCATGCCAATCTGCCAAAGAAAGAGATATCAAGTCTTTGAATAATCTTAACACATTTCTTTGGAAACTAACTCCATTGTTTAGTTTGTTCACGCAGTTCTACCTGTTTGCTCCAGGTCTTCAAGTACATCTCCACTGTTCGTTCCACTTGTGAGTCTCCGTCTTCTGCTCTATTCCAACCTGCAAAAGACAAAGACAGCACCAACAGAGCCCTACCTGCTCTGTTTCACATAAATGTCCATCAATGCTCTTGTGAGCCTCCCTCTTGTGCCTGCTCACTCTCCATTACCTGAAAAAGGAAAACCTGATGACAGACAAGGCCTAACTATCTATACCAACCAACATCTGCTTCATCTTGAAAGGATTTTAAAAACAAATAAAAAATCCTGACCATCAATTTCCAGTCATTGGTAAGGTGTGTAATTCCTTTTTTTTTCTCTATCCATTCCGATCTGCAAAATCAATAGAACAAGATATCAAGTCATTAATTAATCTAAATACCATTCTTTGAAAGTTTTGTCTACCATCGTCTCTAGACTGGTTCTGTTCTAACACTAACAAATAATGTTTCACAGCTATAAATAAATACAAGATGACAACCTATAAACTTTGAATAGATAAATCTGTTTATAATTATTACAACTGTAAATAAAACGAATAACAATTAAAAGCTACAAATGTTGAACAGGCCAACAGCATACAGTAAATTACAAATGCATAATAATATAGCCAAACAATCTAGACTTACAGTAATTTGCAATATGTGTTAAAGCTCAACGCATACAAATCCATTATAACATCAATTTATCGAAAGATATGGCAAATACCAATCTGCAAATGTTAAAATTAGAAAAACTAGAAAACTGTCAAACTAGAAAAAATACATACATACATACATACATACATACATACATACATATTTATATATAAGTCGACAATATAGCAATCTGCAATTCCAACCAGCATTCAGTACAATCTACAGTCAGACCGAAAAAAGATGTGGAAAAAGTAATATAATCTGAAACAATATGACCGAGAGAAACACTAAAATCTTTAGTCTCCTTCAGCAAAAGCACGCCGAAACAACCATATATAATAATGTAAAACGATACTTTTAGAGAAATATTTACATACCGCTAATGTCAGCGATGGTCAGACACTTCCTGCAGTTTCTCTCCGTCTGACGTGTTTTTGGAACACATTCTTTTTTAGAATGCCACGGAATCTGGTAACCACAGCAACGCCACCGCGCCATATTCAAGTTATCTTAAAGGTCCAGTGCGCGATTTCAGTGAAGCACTGAAGAATGTAACAATAATAATAATAATTTTGTAAAAGATTTAAGTCGTGTAACGCTAACTTTTGAGTATATAAATAATAGCAACTTTGATTCTCAATTTGACTAACTTTTGTATGTTTATATTTCATTTTGCATGCATTTATACATTTTATTTTTCAGACAAATAGTAAATAAGTCTGTGTAATTAAAAAAAAAAATTATAGTTCAGTTTAAACATCGTTGAATAACACTGAAAGGTTTTATCACATTGTTATATTTTGAATTATAGCCTATTGCTGTTGTTTTATTAAATTTGTTGTATGTACAAAACGTTTATTTTGTTATTCAGAAATGTGTAAACTCATTCATTCATTCAGTTTCTTTTCAGCTTAGTCTCTTTATTAATCTGGGTCACCACAGCGGAATGAACCGCCAACTTATCCAGCATATGTTTTGAGCAGCAGATGCCCTTCTAACTGCAACCCATCACTGGGAAACACCCATACCCACTCATTCACACATACACTATGGCCAATTTAGTTTATTCAATTCACCTGTAACGCATGTCTTTGGACTTGAGGGGAAAACCAGAGCACCCGGGGGAAACCCACACCAACACGGGGAGAAGATACAAACTCCACACAGAAATGCCAACTGACCCAGCCAGGACTGGAACCAGCGACCTTCTTGCTGTGACATGATACTGCTAACCACTGAGCCACCGTGATGCCCAAATGTGTAAACTACACATTAATTTTATTATTAGATATTAGATTAGATGCATTCGTCAAAACATTTGGCATAAAATAAGTATGTTTTTCAGCAAAACATGTAACACTTTGAGTAGTTTTTAATTTTAAGTAAAAAAAAAAATTCTTACCTAGGTCGAAATACGACCTTAAAATCTTTTGAAAACTAAAGTGGCAGTGTGCCGATTTTCTTTTGATCTTTTGTAACAGTTTCATCGAATCAAATTAATGAGGAATTCAGTCATTAACTACTCTTCGCTTATGTAAGTATGGAGCATGGAGAGCAGAAGGATCGGCAAAGTAGCTCGAGCCAGGACTCGAACTCGGGTCACCGTGAACACCTCAGTGCTATGTGTCAACACACTTGAACCACAAGGCTATTGGCGCTGACATAATGTGGTCTCTTAAAACAAAGAAAAGCACATACTCTCCTCTCAGAAGGGTGAAATGTGTCACGTCAGGCATGTTGGTCAAATATCAGTGACCTGAATCTCACAGTCATTATTATTCTAGCCAATGACTCACTTGAATCAGTAGAGCACTATAAATCCTCATTCTCTCGCTGTTATTTTCAGACTGTAAGGTATGGTTTCTGTATGGCTTGATTTATTGTTGATTTGTTTTTTTGCTCCATATTTTTGTCTTCTGACTCACAGTTGCCCCATTTGATGCTCTTTTTCAGCACAATTCCTGCTGATGTTGCTGGTTTTCTGAACAGTAATGGAAACGCTACTCGAAACCGACCATTCTAGGAAATGTTTTGTAGCGTTGTATAGATTTAAGGTGCACTTAGGGACTATATTAATGGCAATACAGAAATGATGCATACAACTGCAGTCTGCGACATAGTGCTAACAATAATACATCTACACAAAGGATACTGTTTAATCTCCGTTCTCTTCAGTTGCAGAAAGTTTGCTTTAAGGAGCTTATTTAAATTGTCAGAAAAGAATGCTTACAATAAACAACATTGTGTGTTGGAAAAGAAGCTTATAAAGTTATTAGTGTAGTTCTTTGTGGCAACAAGTTGTTAATGTTTATTATTATCTTCTCCTTTTGAAAAAGTGTAGCTTGGATTGGCATTTATTATTTAAGTTGAATTTTGGTACTGTGACAGTGAAGGGAAATTTGTTTGATTAATAAATGCAGTTGGAGCAAATTAAAGTACTGCCCCCAGACTGGTTTCTAAAACATTCATGAATACTCGATGGCATTATTCTGAACCGGTGACTAGGTTTTAAATGTCAAGTTTCTTGTTGACCAAATCTAACCGAGTGGAAAAGTCTGCATGGGCTCAGTTCAGTTTTAATAAACCACAGCCCACAAAGTCTGAAAAACAACATGCCGAGAGTGCGCTAGAAAGAAAAAGAAAAATAGACAAAGCAAAAATTGACGATAAACCTGTGTTGTTAGGTTAACCGTTTATGATTAATTGTGCTTTAATAATAATAACCAAAATACTTTTGATTCAAGTTTATTTTGTGTGAAAGAGCAGTTCTTCAACAGTGGTATTAGTCAATAAATGTATGATTTTTATGATTTTATTTTTTATGCACATTGTTCAAGCTTTTATTTGCAAAAACTAAACCTGAAAACTTAAATGCTTAGTGGGATTTATGTTCAGATGCTAACACTATACATACATACATACTTACATATATATATAAAATTGTATACATATAAGTACATATATATATTAATATACATACATTTATATATGTATAAAATTGTATATTTATTTGTATATACAAAACATAAAATACTGTACAAAATATCAATAAAAACAATACATTTGTATGCATACTTTATAGTTAAATATTATATATATATATATATATATATATATATATATATATATATATATATATATATATATATATATATAAATATATATATAATCTTGAATCTGAGAGTGCAATAAAGCAAAATACATACAAAATGAAATTTGTCTAAATAATTTTTGATATGCAATGTGCATTGCTGAAAAGCTTTTATATAGTTACAGCAATAGATCTACAAAATACATTCATGGAACATAATCTCAGTATTTGAATTCTTGGTAGAAAAGAAAATAAATAATTTTGTCGCTGTATTTCATTTATAATGTACTATTGCAAAAAAAAAAAAAAAAAAAAGATCTGTGCAACTTAAGACAATAAGGCAACAAGTTGTTTTGGTCCAGATCACATCTTACAATATAGGTTGAACTTTGTTTCCCATTTCAGTTGGCAATTGTCTACATATAAGCTGTTTAATAATGCTGTGAAAAACTCCCCATAGGAAGGTGTGACTCACAAACGGATTAAAAAAAACCGCACAGATCCTCGTCCACAGAAACCAAATATCTGCCTAATCAAGGGTTTCCATACATATAGAATGGATGATTCATTATCTTTAATACAGTTCTATAGACTTACTGGCTGGCCTTCATGTAAGATCTTATCAACCTTTTATCTGGGTTATCTTTAAAATCTTTTTATACTTTATATTTTTTATTCGTTTTCTCTTCTTATCGGTGAGCTTCAGTTACTATCCTTAATTTTCATCATCACTAATAATTCAAATGTACATTATTTTCTTTGTGTAAAGCATTCATTTGTTTGAAAAACACCATATAAATAAAGCTTTACTGATTTATACATTTTTGTTTTGTGTGTGTGTTTGCTTTTTAAAATGAATATACAGACCACACATGCTAAAGTTGAAGTCTTTATTTGGCTGTTTTTTTTTTTTTTTTTTTTACTTTTTTTTATACAGATCATTTTATTACATTTTTATAATATATTTACAAAGATATTCAGTGGAGTGAAGACCGAGTGCATGAATGAGTGATGATATCACTAGTGTGGCCTTGGCACATCCTTGTCTCCTGCCCGTCTCTGAGGTGCAGTTCATCCATCTGGTGCTCACCGATGATGTCAATTAGTCTTCATGACATCTGCTCATCTGCGCCAATACTGA